AGGGCAGAACAAGAAGCAAAGGGTGGAAACTAATCAAGGAGAGAATCAACTTAGAACTGAGGAGAAATTTCCGACTGTTAGAACAATGAATCAGTGGAACAGAAGTTGCCTCCAGAAGTTGTGAATGCCCCAACACTGGAAGTCTTTAAGAAGATGCTGGATAGCCATTTGTTGGGAACTGTATAGGGTTTCCTGCCTAGGCAGGGGGTTGGACTAGAAGACCTCCAAGGTCCCTTCCAACTCTGCTATTGTATTGTATTGTACTGTAATTGTATTAATGAAAAGCACTAGGGAAGACATGCTAGCAGTCTTCCAATATCTCAGGGGTTGCCCCAAAGAAGAGGGAGTCAAGCTATTCTCTAGGGCACCTGAGGGCAGAACAAGAAGCAATGGGTGGAAACTAATCAAGGAGAGAAGCAACCTAGAACTAAGGAGAAAATTGCTGGCAGTTAGAACAATGAATCAGTGGAACAGAAGTTGCCTCCAGAAGTTGTAAAGGCTCTAACACTGGAAGTTTTAAAGAAGAGATTAGATAACCATTTGTCTGAAGGGGTTGTAGGATTTCCTGCCTAAGAAGGGGGTTGACTAGAAGACCTCCAAGGTCCCTTCCAACTCTCTTTACACAGCAGTGTCACATGTCTTCTTTTTAATTTTCTGAGATTTAACCATTTTCTGACACTAAAAACTAATCTTCCACAGTCCGTTCATGACGGTGCACCAGTTGACTGAGTTGCTCTTCTCCCTCTCTTCCTGGCTCCTCCGAGATCCTGAGGTGGTGAGTCGGGTGATGCCACGGGCACCGCTGCCTTCGGCTTCCCCGGAGCCTCTGTGGCTTCTCTTAACCTCTCCGCCTCTTTCTGCAGTGGGAGGGAGTTGATCCTGGGCTCCTGCGTTTCTCCCTCCCCATCACCCACCAGTAGCTCTGCATCCTTCCTTGACCTGGTGCCATTTGACCTCCCGTTTACCGAGCATCTGTTAATTCTGTGCTCTTGATTCCATTGTTTACATACAAACTGAATAAATCCAATGTTTTGGTTATGTATTTTTGACTGCTGTGCCAGTCTTTACATACAGATTTATGCCTTACATAAGACAGTATTTTCCATTCCAATTCATGCATTCATTTATGCTGCAGGTTTATGTGGCCATCCATCGTATAATCCAATAAGTGACAAGGGATTCCCATTGACCCAAGTCCAGTTATGACTGAATCCTTGGATTTGATAACCCTTCACTTTCAATTTGGCAATTTCATGTTTTCCTGGAGAGGGAAGATTCTCTGTGGCTCCCAAAGGAATGTGGGGAGCTGGAGTAAGGCACCCCCAAGACAGCCCCCCTGAGGAATGGGACAGTAAGTGGGTGGGTCTGTTTAGGGTGTAAGTATTTCCATGTCTACGAGTGCAGGTAGTCCTTGACTTACGACCTTTTGCTTGTGGAAGGACATTGAAAAAAGTGATTAACCGTTGGTCTTTGCACTTACGACTGCCTGGCACGGCATCTCCGTGGCCCCTTGGCAACCAGTTGGTCTTTGTCCCTGGGTGGCTGCCACTTGCCACCTTCCCCAACCAGCTTCTGACAGGGAAAGCCAGTGGGGCAAACTGGATTAGTTCAGTGACGGAAGCGTAATTCACTTAAAGACCACAGCAAAAAGGTTGTAAAATTGGGTGTGACTCACTTCCCACCTTGCTTAGCAACGGGTGTTCCAGTCGCAGTCATGAGGGTGGGGCTACTTTTCCCCTTAAAGGGGCAAGCAGGACATCCCCCCCTAGAGCCCCCCCCCATTTGAAAGAAAGCAGATCTGGAGGGAGGGAGCTCTCTTGACAAGAGAGGTTAAGCAGCAACACCCCCCCACCCCCCCCCGGGCTGCTCTTTGCAGGCAGCCTAGTGGATTGCTGTGCCTTCTGGGGCAGGTGGTGGTGGTGGAGGAGGATTGGATTAGGGATCCCTTGCAGACAAGGGAAAACTCTGTGTAACCTGTTTCTCCCCCTCCACCCCCCACCCTTTCTTATCTGGAAATGAAAGCTGAGTCTGTCACAGAATCAGCCTAGCCAAATAAATATCTAATAACTAAATAACTGGAAGTGGGGGGGGGTTGCTTAGGGGTTGTTGAGGGGATGGGCCGGGTCCTCTTTCCTGTGGCTTATATAACAAGAGACCCTTGGAATAAACTGACACTCATTCTGTCCTTTGCATAATGTGCCTTGTGCTGGGATGGAGGCTGTGTGTGTGTGTGATGGGGATGTTTGGGTGAGGTTGTGGGGAGACTGACGTTCCAAGGGTTCATTTAGTGCCAACATAGACAATTTCTTTGGTAGATCTGAACTATTTTTTTTTTTGATCATCTGAAATAAAATGCCAAGTTCTTGAATGTTTCAGATTCTGGCATTGGGGTTTTTCTGTGTGTGTTTTTGCCAGGGTGCGTTTCAGGTGTTAGTTTTACAGATCTTTTTCTCTTAATTGCCATCTCAGTGGAAGAAGTCTTGGAGGGAACCTTTGTAAAACTCTTTTAAGACAAAAAGCTGTTCACAAAGTCAGTGGTACAGGTAGTAGTCCTTGACCTACAGCAGTTCATTCAGTGACCATTCAAAGTTACGACACCACCTGAAAATAGTGATTTATGACCGTTTTTCCCAGTTACGATCTTTGCAGTATCCCCCACCCCCACCCGATCAAAATTCAGATGCTTAACAATTGGTTCATTCTTATGACGGTTGTAGCGTCCCAGAGTCACGTGATCCCCTTTCGCGACCTTCTGACAAGCAAGGGGGAAGCCAGATTCATTTAACAACCAGGTTACTAACTTATCAACTGCAGTGATTCATTTAACAACTGTGGCAAGAAATGTCATAAAATGGGGCAAAACTCACTTAACAAATTCTTACTTAACAACATAAATTCTGGGCTCAGTTGTGGTTGTAAGTCGAGGACTACCCGTATTTTTTCCACGCTTCTGTACTTGGCCCTGCCGGTCTCCTGCTTTGTGGGAGGGGAAGGGGCCTCCGAGAAGGGCTGGCTGTGCCTGGGGAGGCGATTCTGCTGATCTCTGCCTTCCCCTCCAACGGAGGAGGACGCTTCTCCACCAGGATGGGAGATGGGCGGCTGTGTGAGCTGAATTAGTGAATGAAAGAAGGGACTGAAAGGCCAATGAAAATTATGCATCCATTGTTGGGCTCTGAAAGTAAAAGAGACAGAGGGGACCCTTTGGTAATAAAACCTAGATTTTACAAGGGCTATTTGAGGAGAGAGGGCGCCTGTTAAAGCCAAATATTTGTTAAAGCTGAATGTATGAAATGTGTATTAATTTTATATAAAATGTTTATATGCAAAAATTAACATAGTAGTTGAAAGTAAAACTTGAACTGATCCCACAACATGATTAGCCTGAATTCATTTTTTTTTTGGTTGCTTCCAAAGTCTGCTGAATGAAGATTTTATGAAATCAGGGTTTTACTATAAAAGATCTGATGAATTGGTGCAAGTAGTCAAGGTCTAAGTTTAATCCTGAGGGATCAAGGTCCCCCCGCAAAGAGAGGAGAAGTTGGAGAAGCCAAATGCCGGGGGCCCTGTGGCAAGGGTGGGACACAGGCTTCCTTCGTTTGTCACTCAGATATTTATTTCAATTATTCAGAGATCAACGGTTTCTTTTACGTGCCCAGGGTAACGTTGTTTTGCGTGTCATCATTCTTGTAGGATGTCATTTTTAAACCCATTTCCAAATCAGTCTGAATTATGTCGGCCCTGCTTGTTTCTCTCGCAAAGCAGCCTTTCAGCACAGTCTGCCTACAGAGGCGAGCCCTTCCCTTGGGTCCCAGGGGGGTTTCAGAAATGTCCTTCAGGATGTCCCACGGGGACATATTTTGCCTCCTTCTGTGCTAGTAAGTCGAGTTTGAATCTTCTCCTGTAATTGAAACCCTTATTCCTCCCAGTTCCTTTTGTATATTCCCTTTAGCCCTGCTACCTTTCCTTACTCGGTGCCTTTGACTTCTGCAGTTTGGGGGTGGTGGTGGTGATGGTGGTTTCTAGAACCTTGGATACTCCTGATAGGCAGTAACTAAGTTTTGGGTACTCCTGATAGGGATAAAGAGGTTTGGGGGGGCCTAACACTTGAGGCGGCATAACAGGCAATGTATAAATGCGAAGTAACATAAAGACGCCAGCAGCATCGGTTGGGGATGGCAGTGGCCAGGAAGGCCCACAGAAGGGACCTTAGGTGCCCCGTGGGAGGTTTTGTGGGCAATTCACTTGCCTTCCCTGCCGGAAGCCTTAGCGGCACCTGGCAAGATGCACGTGGCTGTTTATTCGGTCTGGTTGTAAAAATCGCCTCTCTGTGCACATTGCAGAAATTTGGCTCCCAAGATGAAGACTCTTTTCCCTCGGAGCCCGGCGGCTTTCCTCAGGCTCCAGGCACAGGGATGCCGGCTCCAGAGCTGGTGCAGGTGTCCGAGAAGAACCTCTCGCAGCTGGAAAGCGTCCGGGGCTTCGTTGGCCACTCGCACATTTCGCCAGCCAAGGTAAGAGCAAAGGCTGGTATTTCGGGACAGCTGCGGGGACCAGTCGGAGCCCCAGGGGAGGCTGCCCTGTTTGCTCCGGCCAAAAGTCTTGGGTGGTTGATTAAAGGTGGGCGGCGACCCTCGGCTGCAGCAGCATCAGCAGCCACTGGGACCATGGCTGGGGGGGCGGGGGAAGCAGCACTGAGGCGGCTCACACTCAGCTCCCTGGTCTCCTACCTTTCTGATCTTTGCTTCATCATTAAAGTCTAAAGTTCTGAATTCTTTAAAACCGACCGCCCATTTCCTAGTATAGGTAGTCTTCAACCTATGACCATAACTGAGCCTGTAATTTCAGTTGTAAGTCATTATGGTCATTATGCAAGACATCATGTGACTGATTTGACTCAACAACTGCAATACTTGCACTACGAAGCTGGGCAGGGGGGGGGTGCAGTGCAGCCTGAACGCAGGGAGGATGCGGAAAGAAGTGGCCCCACCTGCACCCCAGGAACCCCCAAAAGCTGCAAGGGCGTGGATGAAACAGCCACTCGGCAATGCTCAAATGTTGGCCCAGCCCAGCCTCACTCCGGGGCAGGAAGGCAGGCAGGCCACAGCGATCGGGAGGCCTTTAAAGCTGCTGCCATCCAGGCCTTTCCCCACAAGTGGATTGCCCCTGGGGGCTTTCCCTATGGGGCAGTGGTGTCCCCCCCCCACCGGGATTGGGGTTGCCCCCCCCCCGCATCATTCATGGGTACAGGAGGGAAGGGGAGAGCACCTAGGACATTTAAAGGAGGGGGGAGGCTTTCTGCCTTCGGGTGCACATGCATGCACCCCCCCCCCTCAATCGTTGGGGGAAGGGGGAAGGGGGCTGGTGTTCCAAAGAGTTTGGATTTTTTCAAGGGGACTCCAAGCCTCTTCTTCCTCCACCCAGTGACAAAGGAGGGGGGCCTTTCCTCCTCCTCCTCTTCCTCCAGAGCCCTAGAAGCAGGCTGGAGAGGATCCTGATATATGTGGAGGGGCCCTTCCCCCAAAGCCAAAGGCCAGCTTCCCCTCCTCCCTGTATGGATTCCAGTGGGCTTTTTCTGGCTTTTGAATTGGGGGTGGGGTTGGGGGGGGACAGGCAAAGGTTGAGAGGGGCACTGATTCCTGAATGGGAGGGAAGCCACTGGTGGGAGCCACGCAGGGGGAAAGGCTGGACGTGGCTTTAGGGTCACCCATCCCTGGGGGAGACCTGCCTGTTCCGGCCTTCCACCCCCCCACCTCCCCCTTAGGCTTGCTGGGAGGGAGGTCTGCCAGAATGCCCGGAGGCTCCCTCTGTGGCCAGGGGGTGGGGGGGGGGCACCTGCTTCCTTGGGAGCTTCCCGGGTGTTTATGGGCATGGAGGGGAAGAGGGAGAGACGCCAGAGGGGCAGCTGCAGCACAGCCCTGCAGTTGGTTGTAGGGGTGGGCAGAGTGCCAAGCACCCAGTTTTCATCATGTGACCGCATGGGGCACTGTGACGGCCATAACTCCAGGCAGGGGTCTTGTCCCTTTGTCGATCATTTTGAATGGTCTCTGAATGAACGGTCATAAATCAAGGACTCGCTGTATTAGCAGAAGAATCCCGTGAATCTGCAGGTGTCAGTGGTGTAAAAGAAACAGGTCTAACAATACGCAAATTCTGGGCTCACTTCTGGCTGTCATGTGAAAAGTTGCACATCCCCTCTTTCTTGGAATCCGGTGGTTATCCTGGAGCCTAAAATAATGAAAGCGTTCATTTTCCCTGCCCCCTTTAGAGGGCATTTATTTAAATGCGGGATGCCGTGTGGAACTTTGCTGAGGGAAAAGGCGCATCGGATAGAAGGAGGCCGGCATGAGCCCCTCATCCTTCCGAGGGCACCTCCTTAACCCGGCAAAGAGCAGTCGGTCAGAACATTTAAGGGATTTTATTACAAACCCCTTAACTGAAGTCGCCTTTGCGTTTTAGAGTGTTTCTGATTTCTAGAAATCCTATTCTGTTTCTCCAATGCTTAGTTTTCTAGCTTCTGTCCTCCCTCCTTTTCCGCTCCATGGCCCGTCTCTCCCCTTTCCAGGGTTTTTTGGGTTCTCGTTTTTGTCTCCTGCCTTTGTGCCCACAAATCCTTTGGGCCTGCTGGGCAGAGAATCCCACTGGCTCCACCCAGCCTCTTGGGGGCTCCCAAGGACTTGGCCGCTGCTCTGGTCTGCTTCAGTGTCGCCCGTGTTCCGGCCACTTTGTGCTGCCAGGACCTGAAAGGGGCAGTGCTCCAGGTTGCCCAAAATGTTTGCTCCGGTTAAGGCTGCGGCCAGGTGGGCACGGTCCACCCTCTGAGCGGTCTTCTTTTGCAGCTGCCCCCTTTGCTTGCTGCTGAGGGCTGCTCCCGGGGCCCCCCACTGCTCAGTCACTGCTCCGCATCCCCCGCCCCTTTTTCTGTGTGTCCCTCTTCTCTCTTCCTTTGTTCTTCCAGCCTCCTCTCGGTGTTTCCCGATAACTTCTTCAGCTTTTCTTCTCTTGCTGCTTCTGCTGCCGCCACTGGCGGACTCCCCTCCCGTTGGGCGGTTCCTAAACAACCGCCAGAGCAAGTCCCTCCTAGGAGGGAAAAGCAGGGATGCTGGGTCATTGCAGCGGACACCCGGGGGAAGGAAAGAAGAGCCGGGAAGTCCGGGGAAACGCCCTCATTGGCGTCGGCTGGCATTTGGTCTGGTAGGTAGAGCAGGGTGTGCCTTACGAAGAAGACCCTGGGAGGTTTTTGTCTCTGTCAGCGTGTGTATATATGCGACAGAGAGGGGAATTTGGGGGAGCTGCTTCCCTGCCTCTCCAAAGCCCCCCCCCCCCTTCGTAGGGCGAAGTGAAGTTGGGACGTAGTTTAAACAACCCAGAAGACCCTCAAGGGCAGCAAAGGGGTTTTGAGGAAATAACAGAGGAAGATTATTTCGTTGCCTTAAATGTCTTCTCAGGCTCTCTTGCTGCGCCGTAAAGGTTCCTATCATATTTCTCCATTTCAGAATATTCAGTTACTAGTAAAAAAGCCGAACCTCTTGAAAAATTATAAATAGGCAAAGTAGCCCACCTGACAGTGCTCAGATACTGCCACTAGAGGGCGGTGGTGTTGCCAAAGGAGATGCCCACCTTGGGGAGCCGGAATTAAATACTCCTGCAGGTGAAGCAGCTGGACTTGGCCAATTAATGACTATAAGGAAATGGGTAGCGAAGGGTGAGATGAAGGAAATGGGGTTCACCCTCCTTCCTGCAAGGAAGAGGCTATGCTGGGAGTCGCTTCAGGGCCGGCTGAGCCACTTCCAAAGGGTCCACCTGCTCCTGTTCCCCCCCCCCCCCGGCTGAATATGGGCGGGTCTCCCAGCACAGAGAACCCAGCGATTCTGGGTGGAGAAAAGCAGGATTCTGACCAGCCTGGCATTGATGTGGACAGACGTTCTAAAAGCCCCCAACCCATACAAGCGATGATGACCAATGAGAGCCAGCATGGACCGTCAGAGAGGAAGCCCTGCTAGGTAGGCTAATCTTAACCTTAGCTTGTGGTTGTGGGGCTGGCTAGTCTGCTGGCTTTCAGAAACGCCTCTCCTCCTGCCCAAGTCTGGCGTCTGCCCCTCCCATCCACCTGCTGCCTGTGCGCGTGCAAATAGCCAGTCGTGCCTTCCGGTGAGTCCCTGGTGGCTCTTGTCACAGCATCCAGGGAGGACACGGAGGCTCCAGGGGGGCCTCGAGATGGAGGGGATCCATGGGGCAGCTGGCGAGGAGTTGGCCTGCAGGAGGAGGAGGAGCCCTCCCGTTGATTGGGGAGGGCAGGGCAGCAGCAAGAGGGGCAGAAGCACGGCAGAAGAGCCCCTCCTTGGGGGGAGGGCAGTTCCCGGGGTCTGGCTCCTAGCTCCACCAGGGTTCAGGTTGCTGGGGTGTCCCAAAGGAGCTCTGCCGGATTGGGAGAGTTTCGTGCTGGATTTGCTTTGTGCTTGTGGAAGGGCTGGATTTGTTTTAACCTTCCTGCTCTCTAACCTAACCTTTCTCAGTGGTCTTTGAGAGGACAGGAGGGGGGGGGGCTGTGTGCACTTCGTGTAGGATTAAGCCAGAGAGCCGTAATTCATCCGTATTGCTCCAGCTGTTCGACTCAGAATAATAGATCCCAGCGTTAGAAAAAGCTGCTTGCTTAGAAAGAGCAGTTTGAGACTGCGGAACTACCGGCCCAGAGAGTCCTTAGAGCACCCGCCCTCCCTCTCAATCTCTCTCGGGCCTGTCGAAGTTCCGGCTTGAATCGGTTTTGAATCGGAGAGGCTGCACTAGGGGGAAAGCAATCGCAGAGCTTTGGTCTCTGGCCAAGGCTGCCCTGCCAGAATCTGCCCTGGCAGAGCTTTGTCCCCTGTCTTGCCAGCACCCACCAGATGAAGGCTATGGTGAACTTCGTGCAATCCTGATCCCTTCAAAAAAATCACTTGCGCCTCCCTGCGGGATTCTCTGCTCTGTATTCTTTCTGAAAGTGCGTCAGAGTCGGGTGTTCAGGATGGGCCTTGGGTTCTTATTAGAAAATTCCCTTCAGGGCGATGGGCTCAGCGGTGACTTCCTAAATGCCGCCGTTCCCACCAGTTGCAAATCCACCGTCTGTCCCACCGAGGATCTGATGCTTCTTTTTCAAGGCTTCTGGGATGCGGTTCTGAATATTCTGCCAAGGGCTAATGGACTTTCTCGGGCACTTTTAGAGTTTAAGGGTTTCATGTGGTTTGCTTTGTGTAGAAGCGTGAGAAACCTCCTCTTCCCCCAAGCTTTTGAATGGACGCCCCCCCCCCCCTTTCCCTTTGGGGAGAGCTCTGGAACTAAGGCAGTTGGTAAGCGAGGACCACCTGTGCCGGTAGCCTCAGTAATGTTTGGAATCAGCGGTGTTGGCGTCGGTAATTCCCCGGTGGGTGGAGCTCGTCTGTTGGTTCTCGGGGGTGCTGCTGCCTCCATCTGGACTGGGTCCCCTTGCCCGCTGGCTGTGCGCGGCCTGAATCGGTTGCTGGCTGGCACACCGAGCCTGGCTCTGTTGACGGCCATTTATTTGGGAGCCTCTGGGCTCCTCGGAAGAGGGCCTTCTCTGTAGCTGCCCCGGCCCTCTGGAACGAACTGCCCCCTGAAATCC